CGCGTCCTCGTGCGGGATGGGGATGGGAGGCTGCAGCTGATGCGGTGATGGATGAAAACGCGTGATGGCCGCCGCAGAAAAGGAGAAAAAAGAGAAAAGGAGGACGCTCCTCTGTTCCTCAGAGGGTTTATTTTTTCTTTTTATTTATTTATTTTAGCTGGGGCTTCACTTTTAAACGTCAACGTGCTGCATCCTCTCGTTTCCGAGGTGTGCCAGTAATATTCCAGCGTTTCCTAAAGCGATTTGCAGAGATTTTTTTTTTTTTTTTTTACCCCTGTTGCCTGAGAGGGCCCCTTTTTTTTGCGTCCCCCGCCCCGGGCCCGATGGGGGGGGGGGGGAGTTGCCCTCTCAGGCAGGAGGTGGGAATGGCCTTTTTAGAGCACAGAAATCCAAGAAATCCAAGGAATGTCGATTTGAATCCACTGATTTTTTTTCTCGTGTTCCAAAAATGTTCGCCTCCGGGAAGGGTTAACCTTCTCCACTGACCTTTTTAGAGCCCAGAAAAATGTCCAGAGGAGAGCTGTGACCGCTCGGCATGCTGGGAGAAAAAAGGTCAGCCCGGCGGTTTTTCCCGGTTGGTTTTCCAGGTTTTTCCTCGTTTAGACAGACTGACCGGGCCGTTGTCTCAGATCTGGAGGTCAGCGGGACACGCCGGACAGTGTATCACAGGTCTCAGGGAGACACACACACACACACACTCACACACACACACACACAAATGCTCACACACACACACACACACACACACACACACGGTCATTTAAATCCACCCATAATGGACTGCATTGCTCCTGAGGTGAGGTCTGGACGGCAGAGGACTGCAGAGGGCCCACATTGCATCACAATGCCCCCCCACCCCCTAAAGCAAGCCAGTATTTGTCAATCAATTGGCATCTATCAAAATTAATCATTTGAGTAGAATTTAGGCAGTGTATCCATCCTTAGTCGGTCCAGATAATGTGGTTAAATGTGTTTAAATGACATTTTCGGCTAAATCTGAGCACAAAATCTAGTGTAAAATGGGAAAAAGGAGTTCAGAGGACGCCAAATAAGAACAAATACCGGGTTGAATGAGGAAATATCTCTACTGGGAGGGGGAAAAGTGGAGGAATTTGGGTTGTTTCTCCTCGTGTTCACAGCG